AATAATTCACTATTATACACTTAATAGATAACAAAGCTATTAAAAGTGTAACCCTTAAAAGCTTTACCAGTAAATAGTAAATACTTTTCAAAAGAAGATTTAAATAAGTTTTAGTTGTGCACCACAAAAGTAATGTGACTTTTTGTGCTTTGTTTTTGTTAAATTTGTCTGTTAAGCTGATCCCCCTCTTTCAACTAAAATTACCTCCTACAGACTGTGCATATCAGTTAAGTCTTCTTTAATCTTTTTTTTTCAAATTATATATAGCAAGTTAAATTCATGCGCGTAAGGTCATCTTTAAAATGTTTGCTTACCCTCTCCCGACTCAGGGTAAAATTATTGGATCATTAGGTAGGTCGATCCAGAAAAATTCAACATATTTGTTGAGCGAATAAGAGGAATAAAATAAGAAAAAACGTTGTGTTTTGGAATGTAAAAAAAGTTCTTAGTCGGGCCATTTTTAGACACTCGTTTGAGAGAGGACAACCATTTTTTTTTAAAGATGGCCTTATCTATTTAATTATTAACTCAACACACATTTTTAAAATAGGGTTCTTTTTTCTTTTCAGGGGCTTGGCAGTCTCAACACTTCTTCGAAACGCCATATAATATTTAAGTGACATCTCCGATACCAATGAGTTATAACTCGTTATGCTCTCCAATGGCCTCTCCATTTCTTGACTCTTTATAAAATCCATAAGTTTTGATTCCGAAAAGACGATATGTCTCATTTCTTTTACTTTTCAATTTCTCAACATGAAACTGTATAGTGCCCAAGGCTACAAATACACATAGGCCAGATTCAATTATTTTATCTATTAGTTTCTCTGAAATACAGAACTTTTATGTACAATTCATACTGATAACTGCAATGGCCAAAACAAGAATTTTTTTATGTATATGATTTATGTGGCAAATTATGACGGGGCAAATATGACAAATAAGTTTGTGATGCAAGTTCGATGTCAAACTCTTGCAGCATTGATTAAAAACTTAGGAGACTAATTCATTGATCCGACTGAAACAACCGTGGAACAGTTTTCACTCGGCTCTCGGGTACCCTGCATGACAGTGGCTGGAATGAAATTCTTTCCCAGATCTCTAAGGGGAATAAAAATGTACCAAACTAATTACAAAATACAAAGCCTGGTAATTTGTCCGTAGAGGAATAAGGTTCATAAGAGAAGTAAAGATCAGCATTATAAAAGACGAGAAATTTTACCCAGGATTGACCAGTTAGTTTACTGACCAATGATCTTACTGACGCCCGCAAACATTTATCTGGTCACAATTTCCCATCAGTAGGCCTTTCAACTGCCGCTAGGGGTCGGTGTTATGAACGATAACTCACTGCTGAAACTTGTTTAGAGCAGGCTCGGGGTATAGAGTTTTCCTGCGTTTCGGAGAATAGCGGGAAAACGTTGTATGATAGCAACGTGTTTGAATAGCTATGCGTAGTAATACAAGGCGGGCCATAGGAAGGCCAGTATAAAGGGTCAGTGGCGTAAAGTTAAGGTCATTCTAAGCCAGTCTTTCTCAGTGCACGGAGCACTATTTTTCTCGGGCAGCATGGCGAACGACGAGCTACTACAACGAGTTTCGGAGATAATGGACTCCAAATTATCATCTTTCGAGAGAAAATAACGAAACAGCAAAGACAACAGCATGAGCAACAGCTTTCTAAACTTCAAGCAGCAAACGACAAGGCTTTTGACTTTAAACGAAAGGGAAACGAGGCTCAGTACAAATTTAACAACAGCATTAGAGACAAGCTGGTAGAGGCCAACACGGGTCTGAGCGAAGGGGAGCCAGAAGTAGCCTTTAATTGCATTTCCTCAGGTATAGAGCTTATTCATCAGCGACAAAAATTAATTAAATTAGCAGACTCATCCAAGACGGACTGGCGCACCGTTCAAGAATACACGCAGCACGAATTAGCGTCTGACGAGGAGGATGAAAAACGAATTTTGAAGGCAGAAATGAGGCCGAAAAGAAGTAAAAAGAGGAGCGGATCCAAAAGGCGAGAGCGGCCAGACGCATCAACCCATACCCGGAGAAGTCCACACACACAAAATCAGACCAAGTCATACGAGGGCAGCAAAAAGTCGGGGACATGCTTTAAATGCGGTTTCGCCGGTCATTGGGCAAAGGAATGCACCAGCAACAGCAAAGAGACAAGCTCTAAGTTAAGTAATTTAGATAGTATTGCTCAAAATATATGCAGTAATCAAGAAAGTGTATTATCTAAGATTAGTGTTTTAGATGGAAAAACGAATGTACGCCGTTTTGTGGCCACTGTAGATGAAAATGTCAGTCCAGTTGGACGTTTGAGAAGTCATTTGACAAAATGGGTAGAAATAAAGACCGATAAGTACATTTTAGATGTAATAGTAAACGGATACAAGATTCCATTTAAAACTATTCCAGAGAGTGTTTGTTTGGACAATAACAAATCTGCTAGGGATAATGTCAAAATTGTTTATTCCGAGATTCAAAAGCTCATTGACAAAGGTTGCGTAACACAGGTAAGGAATGTTCCTTTTGTTGTTAATCCTTTGACTCTTGCTTTCAACAAAGCAGGTAAACCTCGCTTAGTGTTAGACTGTAGGCATATCAATGCTTGTATTCACGATTTTTGGTTCAGAATGGAAGATGTTAAAGTTGCAAGAGAAATTTTTCAAAAAGGGGATTTTTTATTTAGCTTCGATTTAAAATCAGCGTATCATCACATTGAAATTTTTGAACAGCATAGACAATATCTAGGTTTTCAATGGGAAATCAATGGTGCTATCAAATATTTTATTTTCAATGTATTACCATTTGGCATTTCTTCAGCAGCTCTTATTTTTACAAAACTTATGAGAAAAGTAGTTCAGTATTGGAGATCCCTGAGTTTTCAGGTTGTCATGTATTTGGACGATGGATTAGCTGGATGTAGTAATTTTGATGACGCATTTCTACTTAGCGATATTATCAAAAGAGACTTAACAGAGTTGGGATTTATTATTGCAGATTCAAAAAGTGTCTGGTACCCACAGCAAAATATAGTATGGTTAGGTTTTAAATGGGATACGGTTAACGGTGTCTTAAAAGTAACCTCAGAGAGAATTAATAAGCTTCTCAAGTGTATCGAGGAAATTTTATTTAAGACTCACTTGTACGTATGCTTTCTGGTGAAATCAATAGCTAGTATTGTGGGTCAGATCATATCTATGGAAGCCGCTATAGGACATGCGGTTCGTTTCAACACTAGATATTTATATCAAGACATATTGACAAGATACAGTTGGAATTCAAGTATTAAACTAAGTGATCAATCGTTAGGAGAATTGACATTTTGGAGAGACAATGCAGTGTCAATTAATGGTAAGGAAATTAAGACTTGCAGTGAATCTTCAGATTTAAAGGTTTTTAGCGACGCTTCTGATTCAGGTTTTGGGGCTTATGTAGAAAATTCAGAGATTACAGAGGTACTAAGTCTCTGGACAGGAGAGGAATCCTTGAAAAGTTCTACGTGGAGAGAACTAGAAGCAATTAACAGGTGTTTGAATACTATAGGAGAAAGTATTCAGGGCAAAAACGTAGCATGGTATACTGACAGCAAAAGTGCTTGTAGAATTTTGGAAGTCGGTAGTAGAAAGTCTCATTTGCATGATATTGCTGTTAAAATAAATGAAAAAATTCTGAATTAGCAAATAGTGTTTGATATAAATTGGGTGCCAAGAGGCAATAACATTCAAGCAGACTTGCTTAGTAGATGTTTTGATAGTGATGACTGGGGAATAAAAAATAGTGTTTTTCAAACTATTGACAGTTGTTGGGGCATACACTCATGCGATAGGTTTGCAACAGACTATAATACTAAATGCATTAAATTTAATTCAAGGTGGTGGTGCCCAGATACCAGTGGGATAGACGCTTTTAAGCATTTCTGGGGTAATGACAATAATTGGTTGGTTCCGCCTCCTAGGTTCGTTTGTAAGACAATAAACAAACTTAAACAAGACAAAGGAAAGGGTACTCTTATCATTCCTCAATGGAAATCTTCCCCATTTTGGCCTTTATTACGCAAAGGGGATGATTGGGATTATTTTATTAAGGGAGTGAAGAAGGTCAATTCTTTGATAACTGAAAGAGGTAGAGGGGCAAATGGTATATTTGGAGGTCACAAAGTATTTGACATGGTTGCATTACGAATCGAATTTTAGATACATGTTAATAATATACAATTTGTCATTTATTTATTTTTCAGAGCTAAATGTTCAAAAGAGTGTGCAGGACAGTTTGATTTCATCAGGTGTGGACCTTTCATCTCCAGATAATGCAGTGTTAGCAACAAAAATGTGTGAATATATCATGAAATCTAGAAGTGTGAACACCAGCAAGAAATATATTTCATCATTCAGCAGATGGTCAAAATTCATCGCAAACAAAGGAAAATCAGCTATACCGGCCAATCCATTTCACATTTCCCTGTATCTCACTCACTTACTGCACATCGGTTGTTCTTTCCACGTCATTTCCAGTGCTGTATATGCTATTAAGTGGGCCCATTCTATTTTAGGCCATAAGGATCCAACAGAACACTCCTTCATTAAAAATTTATTAGAGGCTTCCAAGCGTAATAACAAACCTAAAGTTATAAAAAAGGCAATCGTCACAGCCAGTGATTTAATTTTATTGTGTGATATTTATGTCGACAGCACAAATTTGTTAGAAGTGCGTGATCTGTGTATGATTCTTCTTTCTTTTGCTGGATTTTTACGTTTCGAGGAGCTTAGTTCTCTCCGTTGTTCAGATTTAACTTTCATGGACGGATATGTGAAAATTTCCATCAACAAAAGCAAAACCGATCAATATAGACAAGGAAACGAAATTTTAATATCTGCTGGTGTTACCTCGGCTTGTCCAGTTAAAATGTTAAATCGTTATATATCTTTAGGAAGTATAGACATTTCTTCTGGTCACTTTTTGTTCAAGTCCGTGTTTAAATCTAAAGACGGTTTAAAGTTAATATACAAAGACAAAAAACTTAGTTATACCAGGGCCAGGGAGTGCATTTTGTCAAAACTTAAATCCGTTATGGGAAACATCAATATTGGTCTTCATTCTCTGCGTTCAGGAGGTGCGACGGCTGCAGCAAATTCCAAAGTAAACGAGCGATGTTGGAAGAAACATGGTAGATGGGCATCAGATTCGTCCAAAGATGGATACGTGAAAGACAGCCTAGAAAGTAGACTTTCTGTTTCGAAAAATTTAGGATTATGACTTGAAATTTTTTCTTTGGTAAATGAAATATGTTTGTAAAAAAAAAAAAAAAAGTTTTATATCATATATTTCATAATAACTTGCATTTTTGTTGAGTTTTTTCATAGCGTTTACAACTTTTGCTTACTTTTGAACATTTTATTCTAAGCTTGTCTGGCTCACACCTATGTTGTGTTGCGTTGATATATAGAAGGGGGGTGGATAGTATTCTTAAAGTGTATATTATACTAGAGTTTTCCCGCGTTTCGGAGAATAGCGGGAAAACGTTGTATGATAGCAACGTGTTTGAATAGCTATGCGTAGTAATACAAGGCGGGCCATAGGAAGGCCAGTATAAAGGGTCAGTGGCGTAAAGTTAAGGTCATTCTAAGCCAGTCTTTCTCAGTGCACGGAGCACTATTTTTATTTTTTTTTCTTATTTTGTTTTGACAAGATTGTTTAAATTCAAATATATATTTGTATTTTTCTTTTCGTTTTTTATATGAATAAGTCCGATATTCACCCCTAGACATTACTTAACACTTGCGTTCGGACACAGGTTTCCATAGTTTTTTCATATATTTTATCTATGGTTTTTCCTGGGCGGTTTTTAATGTCGATTATGGGGATATTTTGCATAATTGTTTATGTCATGGTTTATTTAAATAACAAGGATTTGTCAATCTGTCTTGCTACATAAGAATGTTAATAAAATTATTAAAAGCCGGCTGCCTGCAAAGCTTGTCTGGCTCACACCTATGTTGTGTTGCGTTAATATATAGAAGGGGGGTGGATAGTATTCTTAAAGTGTATATTATACTCTAACTGTTTACACGCAAGGCAGTATTTAGCATTTCCCAAGTGTTTCTGTGCTCTCAGTAGAATTCAGTTGTTTTAAAATTTAGCACTAAATGTAAAACTTACTTACTGTGTAGTTGCGGACACCGTTTAACTACATATAATTAAATTTTTTCATTAAAATAAAAAGTGAAATCCACCCTCCGTCTTAGTTCTAACCTAATTAATTTTTTATACTCGGCCGTTCTCCTTCGTGCTTAGTAACACAAATAAGATGGTCAATTGTTGCATTTACTTGTAAAAAAATATATATTTATATAGGAAGCGAAAAAGCGCGAACACAAAAATCATGACATTAATTTTCTCCTTCATAACAATCGTCAAAGAGAGTTAAAAATATTGAATATAGTCTGTTCCCCATTCATTTGACCCTGTTATTTCCGGGAGAGGAAGGCATTCTTTTTTT